TATGGAGTCATGCAAGGAGCGCTCTTTACTAATAGAAAGGGGTTTTCACTTTTCACCATCTATTTCTGCCCAAAATCTTCCGGAGTTTCCCTCCTAGCAAACGGGACTTTGTTTCATTTCAATTACATATCTAATCAAACTGAATAGGATTGAAATAGCTGTCATGATCATTCATATTAATTTCAGCTGGCAGGAAGGGCACGGAAGCTACCGTTTCTAAAATGCAAGCAAGCTAGCTTGCTTACTTTTCTTGCAGCCCCTTTGGGACTTGCGCCATATCCATTATATAAACGGAAATCAATCTACAAAGATAGAGTGAAAGGAAAGGGCAGGATGACCATAGGGAATGGGACCCACCATCCACTGATTGCTAAGTCGGATACCTTATTGGACGCTGCCTTTGTGGAAATCCATAGGTTAATTAATAGCTTTCTCTATTTTTTTAAATAAGAAATATGCGCCCCTCCCCTTTTCTTTGTTGAGTTCATCTCATATAGTTCAATAGTATGGGCATTTCTCCTTATAAGAGGGATGGCATGTTAAAGACAACACATACTTTTTGGTTTGTTTCGCACTCTAGCAAGAGGGATTCTCACTTCTGTTATTTGTTATCCTTTTTCCAATCTTTGTTCCATGCAACATTGACTCATTGCATTTGCTCCGTCTTTGAATGTCACTGTCACCTAATTTTCACTTATTATTTCAATTGTTGAGGTGAAATGCTTTGTGTTATAATTTGGCATTGTCTGAAACAAAGCAGATGCATGTTATTCTTACGGGATCTTTGTCGATAACTTAATATGTGACTATACAAATTGTTTTATTGCTTTTGACATAAAATTGTGCTTTTGAGGTTTGCATAGGTTCACATGCACTTGTTTCCCACAGTATTTAAGGTCTTATCTTGCATAACACTGGTATGTTATGTTTATTGGGTATATGGTAATTCATTGATGATTTGTGAAAAATGTAATTGATTTGTTTGAGAGTCTTTGTGCTTTACTACTATTCAAATGACCACATTCCAAATGCATCTGTAGCTATAAATATTTATGTTCGCTTACATGGCAATTTTTTTTCTAGATAATTATTCTTCCCTTTTCTCCGAAAATTGAAACTACTGCATCAATTATTTGCCAATTTTAAGTGACTGTCTTTTTCTTTCCTTGTTACTTTGTCATCTTGTATAACCTGCAGAAAAGGAAAATCTTTGTCTTTATGGATTCCCTAGTGAGCAATGGGAAGTCAATTTACCTGCTGAAGAGGTTCCTCCAGAGCTCCCAGAACCTGCTTTGGGCATTAACTTTGCAAGAGATGGGATGCAAGAAAAAGACTGGTTGGCTCTTGTTGCTGTCCACAGTGACGCATGGTTACTTTCTGTGGCATTCTATTTTGGTGCTAGATTTGGTTTTGACAAAGCTGACAGGTAGTTTTTTCTTTCTGGCTGCACTTCCTCCAGTTCATTTTGGAAATCTAAGTTTGAAATTCCTAAGAAAAGTAGGATCCTTGTGAAAATGTGCCATGTTTTGCTCTTTATTTATACATTATATACATTTCTCTTTCTTTGAATTGAATGGCTAATTATTTATCTGTCAAGGTCTTCTTTTCAATAGGGAAGCCCATCCAATTCTGATAGCAACTGTCCCCTACCCGTTCACCTCAAAACATCACTAAACCATGCATTTTTGATTCACTTCATAAACAACCATCACTCTTTTCCTTTTTTTTTTTTTTTGACATTTCTGTGTGGGACCAACCTAATAAAATATCTACCTAGGTGGTTCTCATGATGGGTATCAGAGCAAAAATGCTATATGAATAGCACAAAATAGACCAGCTGCCATTCTTTTCTTTTTTGCTGTAAAATTTTCCAGCTGTGGGCAGGACAGTTCCTTTTCATTGTCCAAACAATAGCATATTGCCCATTCATACACCATGAGAAACAGGTTTGTTATCATAGCGAGTGTAGGGTGAACCATCCCCTGCAAGTATTGTAAGCAGTTGTCGATGTGAACTTGATGAAACACTTGGACCACCTGAGGAACCGTTCCATGAATAGGAAACTTCAGCATAGAAGGCATAGATCAATTCTACTAATGTGTTAATAAGTTATGAATTGAAATTCTTGAATGTGTATAGTAAGTAGTAAGCGGTTGAAACTTATTGTTAGATTAGTGCTGAATTTCATCGTCAGTTTCATGAAGACTTGCTGGTATTTGTGATGCAGGAAACGTCTCTTCAATATGATAAATGAGCTTCCAACAATTTTTGAGGTAGTGACTGGAACTGCCAAGAAACAAGTAAAGGATAAGTCATCTGTCTCGAACCATAGCAGCAACAAATCCAAGTCAAATTCAAAAGGGGTAAAGGAGATATCTTTCTTCTTGGTCCTTATGAATAATTAAATTGGTGATATGATGTCATTTATGTGTTTGCTTGTGATAGTTAGATTGTTGAGGCTTTTGGAACTCAGTTTAAGTCTTGAAGATCATAAGTAACTATATGGCTAGTGTAGATGGTTCGGCCTGCTTTGCTTCTCTTTTGTTTGGAAGCATCTCAACTGTCAAGTTTGCAGTGGGACACTGGTTTAGATATTGAGCAGTTTTGATATGTACTCTGCATGACTGGATGGCTTGCTAAAAAAGCATTGTCCATGGATTGATGAGCTGGTTGAAATTCAAGTTTCTTATTCTTCTACGCACCTTCTAAAAATAGGTATCTCTATATATACATTTATTGATTTCTATGAGGTTGTCAAGGTTTTATAGATTTGGACTTTATGTAGGCAATCCTAGTCTTGAAGAGAATGCTCGATTATTGGACAGTCTGAGAGAACAAAACATCTTTTTGAGACTTTTAAATATCATTGTTGACTAAATGAATAATTGATTATGGAGGGAGTTGCCTGGCTCCAGCAAGGATAATATTAGTCTTGTTGAATCTGTTAATGGTGTATGTTTCTGATAGTTTTATAAATCGAATTGTTACTGCCTTTTTCGGCAGGTTTAGTATTGGACCATTTCATGTTTCCTACACATGTTGGAGAGTGCTAATGAGGTTGTATCTGACCAGTACTTCACTTTGAGCATGATTGATTTATTCCTACTAACATGTGATCCCAATTTTATTCTGTGGTAATTGTTCTTGTTTATTGATGTATTACTAGAGTATGAAATGTTGGAGATTTTGGTTGATGTTACTTAATGGGGCACAACTCCTTTTTTCCTCTTTTTTTTTTTTTTTGTGGACAATAAAGATCAAATCAACCTGTGATGTCACTTCCCATCTTGGATATCTCATCCCCTACTGCATGCCTCACTCTAACAGTTTGTAATTATATGTTGGAAATGTATGCAGCGAGGTTCTGAATCCCTGGCGACATATTCAAAGTTGCAACCAAAAGATGGGGAGGAGGTATTTGATGAGGAAGATGAAGAGCATGGCGATACCTTGTGTGGGGCATGTGGGGAGAACTATGCTTCAGATGAATTCTGGATCTGCTGTGACATATGTGAGCAGTGGTTCCATGGCAAGTGTGTGAAGATCACTCCTGCCAGGGCTGAGCACATCAAACAGTACAAGTGCCCGTCATGCACCAACAAGAGAGCACGACCCTGATAACCCGTTGAGGTGGGTGGGTTCTCACCTCGTATGTTTGGCTCAGGTCAGACTTAGCTAACTGTCCAGTTTAGTCAGGTTTTCTGTCATGAGTGTCAGCAAATCATGTGTATGGAGTACTACGCTCTTGTTTATCCAGATTTATTGTTAGTTTGCTACTCTTGAACGCTTTTTATTTGATTCTAAATGGGGTAGATATAGTTCTTTGCTCTTGTAGGAAGGCGTTTCTCTTCTTAGGTCTGAATATTTATTAAACTTCTGCCATATGTCAATTAATGCAGGCAACTTTGTGTCTGGTTGAAATTTATGTTCGTGTTAATTACTTTGTTTTTGATGTCAGTTGGCAAGGAATTATAACTTGTAGGCATTGATTTTGATTTATGCCATGTTTGGGTGACATGAGTAGGAGATTAGGGCTGAAATCTTTGTACCTGGATTAGGATGTCCAAATTGAGTCCAATTGGACATTCTAGAAATTTGTTGTGGAATTAGTGTTAAATTATTCTTGTTTTCATTGTCAATGGAAAAAAGTCTTCACAAGTCTCTAAAATTTATGCCCTTCCTTCTGGTGTGGAGTGTGGGGTTTTGGCATGTGAATTGATGCATTTGGAGTGTGTGGGGTTTTGGCATGTGAATTGATGCATTTGGAGTGTGTGGGGTTTTGGCATGTGAATTGATGCATTTGGAGTGTGGGGTTTCGGCATGTGAATTGATGCATTTGGAGTGTGTGGGGTTTTGGCATGTGAATTGATGCATTTGGAGTGTGGGGTTTTGGCATGTGAATTGTGAATTGATGCATTTGGAGTGTGTGGGGTTTTGGCATGTGAATTGATGCATTTGGTCTTCTTTTAAAATTATGACTCCCTGGTAAAAAAATGATAAATGATAGTACTAATACCGAAATTTATTTTTCATGATGGCGTAAAGTTTCCCTATTATGAGATAACAAGTGACACCTCAGTTGTGTCAATGGTAATGATGACACATTAATTCCACACCAAATATACATAAAAATGTAGTTTCCACCAAATATACATAAGCATGTAGTTTCCAAGCAAATAGAACGTTGACGAATCAAAGCAATTGAGGTGAAGTCAGTCTTTGGGTGAGTTTCTAGCATCTTACTTGGGAAACATTGTTTTCAACACGCCTGCCTCATGCGGGTAAGAAATTTGGCAAACACACATGAAATTCTTTTGACATTATGGTGACGTCAAGACTTGAAACAAGTATTTTTATATTTTAACATAGACCCGAGTCAATAACGGAATCTATTAATAATATCTCGACAGAAGTGAATTGGATCAATAGTTTAATTCCAACTAGCACTATTAATGCCAATTTTAAGTTCACACCGACAAAAGTAACAAGCAAAAACACACCCTTGACCCAACAAACACCACGTGTTTTCCATGGAAATGTAAAGCAAACTTCCACTATCTTTCCATGCAAAGCTATTAGAAATCAGCCACCATTTCCCACTTTCTTTTTCAAACAAAGACTAGACCATTGACGCAGCCCATTAACCTCCTTTCTTCACTTTCTCACCACTATATATTCTCCTTCCCTCTCCAATCCAAACCACTCGCAGCAACCTGTTCTTCACTCAAAACCCCCAACTCTCTTTCCCTTTCCAGCAATTCTTCCACCCATTTCAACAATGGCCACTGTTCCGCCAACTCTTCCTCACCTGAAAGACCAAAAAACCTCCATTTCTGTATCAGAAAACTCTCATGTTTCAACCCCAACTCACTGGATGAAGGCTGCACAAGGCTTTCAGTGCAGTCACTTTCATGAAGTTCAATCCATGGTGTCACAGTTTGCACAAGCAGAAACTGTTGACATCCAGGGCACCACCCTCACGGTTGCTCAGGTCACCGCCATTGCTCGTCGGAACAAGGTAAAACTTCACCTCGACGAAGCTATGGCACGCGGTCGTGTCACTGAAAGTGCCCACTGGGTTGCTGATAAAATCGCCAGTGGGACGGACATATATGGTGTCACAACTGGCTTTGGTGCCACCTCTCACCGGAGAACTACCAAGACTGCTGACCTCCAGACGGAACTCATTCGGTTTCTAAATGCTGGGGTGACTGGAAAAGACAATCTTCCGTCATGTTACTCAAAAGCCGCCATGCTCGTCCGCGCAAACACCCTCATGCAAGGTTATTCTGGCATCCGCTGGGAGATACTTGAAGCCATGGCCAAGCTCATGAATCAAAATTTGATCCCAAAACTACCACTAAGAGGGACTATCACTGCTTCGGGCGATCTCGTCCCGTTATCATACATTGCCGGACTATTGACCGGACGACATAATTCAAGGGTGATCACCCTTGAAGGTGAAGAGATCACAGCCATGGAAGCTTTGAAAAGAGCTGGAGTGTCAGACCCTTTTGAGCTACAAGCAAAGGAAGGTCTGGCACTTGTGAATGGGACTGCCGTTGGCTCAGCTGTGGCTGCCACAGTGTGTTTCGACGCCAATATATTAGCTCTCTTATCTGAAATTCTGTCTGCTATGTTCTGTGAAGCCATGAAAGGCAAGCCTGAGTTCACAGACCCATTGACTCATGAACTCAAGCACCACCCTGGCCAGATTGAATCAGCTTCAATCATGAAGTTCCTTCTTGATGGCAGTGATTTCATGAAAGAAGCAAAGCTCCGCCACGAGAAAGACCCCCTGACAAAGCCTAAACAGGACCGGTATGCTTTAAGAACTTCTCCTCAATGGTTGGGACCACATATTGAAGTTATTCGTATGGCAACACATTCAATTGAAAGAGAAATCAATTCAGTGAACGATAACCCGATCATCGACGTTGTTCGTGATCTTGCTCTTCATGGAGGGAACTTCCAAGGGACTCCCATAGGTGTCTCCATGGACAATCTAAGAATAGCTATTGCAGCAATAGGGAAGCTCATGTTTGCTCAGTTTTCAGAGCTCGTTTGTGACTATTACAACAATGGGTTGCCTTCAAATCTTAGTGGGGGGCCAAACCCAAGCTTAGACTATGGTCTCAAAGGTGCAGAGATCGCCATGGCTGCATATTGCTCCGAGCTTCAGTACCTAGCCAACCCAGTCACCACCCATGTCCAAAGTGCTGAACAACACAATCAAGATGTGAATTCACTGGGCTTAATCTCCGCAAGAAAGAGCGCCGAAGCTATGGAGATATTAAAGCTCATGTCTGCCACATTCATGGTGGCAATTTGTCAAGCAATTGATCTGCGCCATCTTGAAGAACACATGAGGGAGGCTGCCAAACAGGTTCTACAACAAGTTATCCGGAAAACACTCTATAGTGCCGAAGATGGGTCACTCCTTGATTCTCGTTTCTGCGAGAAGGAACTCTTGCAAATCATCGAACACCAACCAGTGTTCAACTATCTCGATGACCCCATGAATCCTGATTATCCCCTTTTGCCTCAACTCCGAGAAGTTCTTCTTGAAAGAGCACTAAAAGAACTGAAAGAATCAGAGTTGAATGGAAATGGGTACTCGATTTTCAAGCGGATACCCATTTTTTTGGAGGAACTGAAGGCGAGAATCGGAGAGGCGATGGTTAAAGCAAGAGAGAGATTTGATAATGGTGAATTCCTGGTGGAGAACAGAATCAAGAAATGCAGGACTTATATGATATATAGGTTTGTGAGGATTGAGGTTGGGACTGAGCTGCTGAGTGGTGGGAAGAAGGTTAGTCCAGGGGAGGAGATAGAGAAAGTGTATGAAGCCATCAATGAGGGGAAGCTGGGTAGTGTTTTGATGCAGTGCTTAGCATCTTGGGAGTAGACTACACCCATGGTTGATTTTCTATCAATAACTTCCCGCCCAATAGAAACTTATATAGTGAATTTAAAGGATAGAATGAAATATCAAAATTTCATTTCGTTATGCAATGGTCGGCATATCCGAAATATTTTTATTTTTAAGAAAATCGAAATGAATCATTTATAGAATCGAAATTCTTAAATTTCAACGTGTTTTGTAATATTTTAATCCATTTGAATAATTATTTTATAATGTTTCAAGTTGTTTTAAGATTTTAACCAATATTTTAGAAAAATAATTTTTAAATTTTTTATTTTTTTCATTCTATTTTCAAAACAAGTCAAAATATTTTTAAAACATTTCTAAACGTTTCCCCGACTAAAACAATGCATCGAAATCAATAAGTTTAAAATTGAGAGTCTCTAAGTGTAATATAATGAAAAAAATGTGGGGAAAGCTATTATTATTTCATTTGAAAGAAATCTACAAATGGGAGAATTGAGATTGAAATCCATAAAATTTTCACCATATTTTCTTCATTATTTTGCTTCAAGCTACAAGAAATGGTATAATATTTAGTTTCACGCGATTTTCAATCAAATTCAATAATTTCATTATTCAATTTTTGTCGATGGTTCTGTACCAAAAATTATAATTTTTAAATGTTAAGTTATAATTTTTTTAATGTATAAGTTACAATTTTAAAAGACATGATCGTTCATACAAAATTACAATTGATATCGAGAGTTTATGATCGATTATAATCTTTCCTTATACAGTTATAACTTTTCTTTTTAAAATTATAATTTTATCATAAAAATTAATTATATTGGCACCTGTACCAAATACCGAGTTTCCCCTTATTAAGCCTTAATGGCTTTATCAACTTTTTTGAAAAAGGCTTTTATCAACTTCATGTTCATGCTTCATACACCTAAATTTTTCCCCTCTTGTCCTGTGGAAAAAATTATTGGCTTGTTTATACCAAGTTGTAAATAACCCAAAAAAAAAATAGAACAATAAAAAGTAAGTGAGAAATAGAAACGAATGACAAGTGGATTTGAAGGCCGTCGACAAAAAAAAAATGAGAACCTATGAGGTGAGAGTATATACTTTTAATTTGGGAAGCAAGACCCTTAAAATAATTCAAGCTATAAATAGTGGTAAACTCTAAAGGAAAGATAGAAACAAGGTGGTTAGCTGAAAGATGGTCAGAGTAATATCAATTTTTTGTTCGAAAGTGGCTTCTAATTGCTCGAAAATTATGAACTATATGAGCAGCCGGGATGGTGAACAACAATAAAAAATCAAGAAGTTGATCACTGAACGTAAGAAGATCGTAGGTGTACCATGGGTCAGTATGCCACATCTCATTAATAGTCAATGATGCATCATGTACAATCAACCACCGATACCTCCATGGCAAAGCTTTCAACCAAAACACTCTTGTTCTTGTAGAGTCTATTTAATTGTGATGCGGGTGACCAAATTATTTCAATGATTAAGGGTGTTCAGACTAGTTTACATGTACTTGGACTAATCTCTCTCAAAGGTAGACTATTCACGTTGAAACTAAAGTATTTATATGGAATAAAATCATGACCTGGTTCCAAAAAATTGTCACGCGAATAAAAAATTTAGAATGTTTTTTCAGCAAAAACCAGCACCATTTAATCTTCATGAGACACCAACACAATATTCTTTCCAATAAACAAGAACATCCATGCTCAATCATGTTTACAAACCACATGCATGTACAAATGAAGACAGTATAAATAGCAAAACTATGCCATCTACCTTATTATTACTCAAAACATGTTATTTGGTAGACCATGTTTGAGATAAATATAAGGGAAACCACCAGAGGCAGAACTGATAAATATCATCTGGACTGGGGATCAATCCTTCAAGCAACCATTCAAACTCATCACAAAGTGGATCGACCAAGTCTTGCTATGTTCATGATTATCTGAAGAAGTTCCTTACCTACTGTTGGCCATTAGATGGATATCTGAGTGAGCGCTTCCTAAAAATCATCCTTCTGAGTAAAAAGGCTTGTTCGGCTATCGTAACCTGATAGTTTCGTTTGATAATATAATGTTTGGGTTCCGAATATGTGGATTCAGTGCAGCCAATTCCTTCCATTTAGACCCCGTGCCATGAACACGAGAAGAGATGCTCCACAATGTTTCTCCAGGCTGGGCTGTAGTTGTTGCTGGGGAAGAGGATTTGGCAACAGGCTTTGACTTAATAAGTGGATGCTTGTTCTTCTTCCCCATTCCATTGGCAAGCAACCAACGGGATCCAGACTGCTGTTGAGTAGTAGAACCCCAAAGCTTCTTCTTCCCAGGCTCATTCTTCAAACCAGCAACATGAACTTCAGCGATTTTGAACTGAGGGATGTCTTCCTCTTCGAAAATTTTCTCTTCTTTGGGTGCCTCCTTTATGTCCTCGTTGTTGGCAGGCTCAGACTTATCCTCTTCTTCGCTAATCTTCCTTACTTCTGAGACTGTGCTGTATATTTTTGGTTTTGGTGGGACAAAAACTCTCTCCACTTGAATGAGGGCAAGCATTGGTGTACCAACTGGCTCACAGTTCCGTAAAGGATCACGCAGCTGCACCATTAATGCGACGGTGAAGTTGTTCCCCAACAGACCACACTTTTTACCAGAACCTTTGCCATGTCTTTTTTCTCCCTTCAACCTTCCACGAGTCAAGTCTGTGCAAGTAGCATGATGGGCTGCAAGAACTTTAGAGGTTCGATCACTGATTTGATCTTCGTCATCAATATCACCAGAATCCAGCCTCATCCATTCATCAAGGGTTAATGATAGGCCCATTAAACCATCAACATCATCACCGTTGCCATCAATGTCCAGCAATTGCAATCCACCAGCTCCCTCAAGGCCCAAAAACCCATCACTGTTGACCCTCTTCCCCTCGAGGGCCGAGAATTCACCAATAGACTGCGGGCTGATGTTTGAAGGGGCATCCTGATCTGACATGCCAGATTGTATTCTCAAACCTTCCATTGAGAGGGCTTCAATCTTATCAATTGCCAAAGGAGCCAGATCTTCTAAGGAAACATATTCTGAGTCCATCTCATTGCCAATTGTACTTGATTCAAACTTGCTAGGCCTGGGTCCCAATGATTTTTCTTTAACTGTCTTTTGCCCAACAGATGTTTTTTGTCCTGCCCCTGATTCACGCTGCAAGAAATCTTGCCTGCAACAAATAATAAGACCATATAACTCATCAACTAGAACAGTGTGAGATAAAAGGACGTTTATATGTATATACAGATAGAATTTCCAATTCAACAAAGCAAAGCTAAGAAATAGAAGTGGGAAACCTCTCAGGTTCCTCCAAACGTGGTGCAGCTTCCCATGCTATTTGTTGCATCGTCTTTCCAGTTATATCTTCTAGAGGCATCAACTTATTTGCTTGCATTGAGAGCTTTTCAATTCCAACTGAAGTCAATTGCTGCAGTATCTCCATTATACCAGAACCCATCTCTGCAGGTACAACGACTGGACTAGATACCTGCATAATCAAGCTTCCCCCATTTTTGGCATTGCTAAAAAGTGCAGGATTCATCGACCGCAAAAATCCTCCGTTCTTAGTCTGAACAAATGGACCTAAGCCTTCTCCAAGGGAAGGCAGCTGGAGAGGATCTTCAGTGCGTAAATCAATTGGGCTTCCAAACCCACCAGAGCTGTTAGACAGAGAACGCTGAAAAGCCTGCTCATTCAAGCCCGACTCACGCATCAAAGCCTCTGTCTCCAATTCCTCTAACATTAAAGCCCTTGTTCTGTCCCTCATTGCTTCTGTTGCTACTGTAGGCATTTTCTCAGAAGCTAGGGCCATTGATGAGTTATAGAAGTCTTCAGAGATGGTCCCCCACCCAGACCCAGTTGGATCTTCGTAACCAAATTCTGCCTGCTCACCATCAATATCAAAGTTGAATAAGGAAAACCCACTGGCTAGGGTATCCTTCTCAAATTGTCTCAACAGACGTTCTCTTGGGGACTCGGGCTCACTCTCAGAACTCAAGCCAAATGGACTATGCTCTATCCCCAGCAGGTCCAGGAACTCACTAGCAACAGATTCAGTAGCATCGTCCAAGCTAAGTGACTTGCCCTTCCGAAGCCCTTCACAATTTGATTTTCCCATCAAGTAATTCTCTTGGTTTGAAATTTCACTTTCATCTTCTTGGGAATCCGATCCTTCTTTTACCAAATCTGACACACTAGCCAATGCTGACTCCAAATCTTTCATAAGTGATTCTTTGGTGCATATATCATTCTCTTCGGACTTGCACTTGGTCACCACAAGCTCATTTCTGTGACTGCCAATTTCCTCAACTTCAACTGGGGGATGAAGCTTGGTGTCCCCTACAAGGGCTACCTCGTCAGTGCTGCCAGCAAGATTCTCTACTCCAGAACCATCAACAGCTTTTTCTTCTGATTTCACCTGCTCCTCAAAGGACAATTCCATACCTTTCTCTACGATGGAAAACTCACTAACTTCATACTCCTTTTCAACATTTGCTTCAACAGCATTGGACAACAAGTATGAATTTGGTTTGAGGGGTTCAAGAGGTTCACTGAAAACATCAAGCTTAGGTTCACAATCATCTGAAACATTCAACTTGTTTTCATCAAATTTCTGATAAAGAATATGTACCGATTCAGCAAGTTCTGACCTTGAAATTGGCAGAACCTCATGAAGATCCTTTATGTCTTCTGGGGAACGAAGTGAGGTAGAAGACCTAGCAGGAAGACTTTCGGCTCGTTGTATTGAGCTCCGATCCTCACTTTGACTCAGTTCCCTCGGGGGTTTTACTGTACTTGCACTATTCAGGACCTCAGGAACATCCCTGCTGGTAGCAGTTATCATAGAACTATTCCCAACAACAGAATATGTAAAACTGACATTCATATTAGCACCTTTAGCTTTACCCGACAACCTGAAACTAGTTGTCCACTTCCCAGAGCTTTTCTCCTCCTCTAGTTCCTCCAACGTCAAAGGAAGCAACCTCGTGAGATCAATCCGATGCTTTCCCAAATCCAGCTGAGGAGCACCAGAAACAGACGAATATAACAAGAAATGTTTTGCTTCATACTTTGCCGAATGGTGGGGACCGTTTCTACTACCGTAAACTGAGCATGTATGCGTCAATTGTTCTTCAAACTCCGCTGTACCTTTAAAAACCCTAGCCGGGCAAGTCATCAACTCTCCATCCCGCCTCTTCCAATGGACAATAAGACTAAGCTCATTGAAATTCAAAGGCAAACCTTCAATTGAATGGACTTGCAGAGTGAAACAACAATCAAACCTACGGTTTCGGACAGGAGTAAAATTTGCCTTTAAGGCCTTCCAACTCCAAATGGACTTCTTGTCCTTTTCTAGTGCATCTTTATTAGCATCATTTAGCTTTGATTTTGGTTCAGGCAAATGGGTTTTCCCTACAGATTTGGATCGACTGCTCACTGTAGACATAGAACTCCTTGGCCGTGTTTTATCTGCATATAGTGCTTTACTTATAGCTTCAATGTCATTTAACAACTTCCCATTTCCTGACTTCTCACCAATTTTCTTCCTAGCCTCGAATTTCGACATCATCTCCTCCCACAAACTAACAAATTATAAACAAAAATTCAAATGAAAACACAACCCACAAACATACATCACCAAAAAAAAAATACAGTATCTCACAAACTAGCAGATTATCAACAAAAATCCAAAGTAAAACCCAACCCGCAATCATATACCTCACAAAAAGCAAAAACAATTTGACTTACCAATTTGAATTCATTCAAAGGTACCTGCAGAGGATGTAAGAATATTGGGGAAGTGGGGGGGAGGGTGTATATAACATCGAAATAATCATTTCACAGTGAAAAAAGATTATTGTTCGGCTTACCTAAAATTAAAATCTGAGGAGACCCAGAACCAAGAAACCCTAGATTAACTCATAGATTTCATCGTCTCTTTAACTCGAACTTGAATTTCTGGTAGAGAAGACATATGAATATAGCAATCAAACAGAAATCAACAGATATGTAACGTAACAGAAGAAGGTAAAGAAGAGATTGAATTGTTCCGTCACAGAACTGGAGTAAACGATTTTTGAGCCGAGTTTTTTTTCTCTCTCTCAATCCTCTCTCTCTATTTTGGCGTGAGCCTGCCTCATTCAAAGTTCAAACCAAACAGGCAATAATATAAAGAATACAAAATAATATCACTTGGGGCCCTTATACTTTTTGGTAATATTAACTATGCTTTGTAGTTTTGCATTTTATACCCTTATTCCTTCTTTTCTTTTTTTTTTTCTTTTGTCCTTTTCATTTTCCAATTCCTTTCTTTTTGGCCAATTACATAAACCTCGTACACGGAGTTGAAGTCACATCACTTCCCGTGCAAATCCACCTAGGGGTTGATTTTATTGAATTCGTTTTGCTAAAAAACATTAGAAATTAACGGCAAGAGTCAAATAGTCATTGTAATACAAGAAATTCAATATATCAATTAATTATCATTTAAAAAAAATAGATGATACTGTAATAAAGCTCGATACTATTACTATTGCATGACATGTGTTAGTATACTTGAAATTTGCTAGTTACAGTTTAATTAGGAAAATAAATATCCATTGAGGTTTCTGTTCTGGTCGATCAACTATATCGGTATGGAAGAAAAATGAATAGGAAGAGGATAATTTTTTCCCTAGTTGGTCGTAGGGTTGATAATCGAATGAGTTCGAACGAACTTGAGCTGAGCATGTCGAGCTAATTCTTTTAAACGAGTCTAAAAAAATATTCAAACAGTCACTCTCTTTGAATATGTAAATTTAGAAGTCCTAAGTTTAAATTTTAGTAATTCTTTAAAGTCTATTCATGAGGAATGTATGCTTCATAAAAATTTTAGTTCCGACATGGATGACTTGCCTTTAATTAGAATAAGAATAAAATTAGTTGAAGTACGTATAAGTTGTCTTAAACACTCTTGACCGTCACATAAAAAAAAAAAAAAAACATGCAAAGGGGAACTTTCCATACCTCTACACCTTATTCTTCATCTCACTTTCCAGCACTTACCAAACGAAACATAGAGATAAATATATCCTTTACCTTATATATATTGTTGGTTTCATCTTTTCAAAACATACTTAAAGAAAGCTTTGCCAAGAAAGTGCACACACCCAATTGCATATATTACCTTATTTATAGACAATTATCTACTTTACCTTATGCATATCTAAGAATTTCTTCATTTTCAAAAACACAGTCAAAGAAAGTTTTGCTAAGAAAGTGACCATAGCAAATTGGTTTAAAAAATTTTGCACCCTTCTTCCACTTATTTTTCCTAGACCTCGCTAAAAGCCAGTACATAGTGTACTGAATACAATCACTTTCATTTTAATTTTAATTTGTTCATCGGTTATCAAGTAGAGACGTTGTATAGACAAATATAAAAATAACAAAAATATGAGGGTACTCAGAGTAGCATGGTTGAAATTGTGGCACCAAAAGGGTTAAAACATAATAATTGTTTTGTCTTTTGTTCCAAGATTGTAGTTAGAGAAGTGTGGAAGGCTCAGCTGTCCCATTTGGTATTAGAGAAATGCTTTGCTTGCATGTAACATGAGTGAGTTATAATGTAGTAATTGTTCGGAAATGGGCTGATACCCTCAAGGACAAGGCAGGCATCACCGATCGGAATTTGATCATATCATCAACATAAAACAGACTAAAATTTTATAAAATTTGAGTCTCGGGAGACTAAAATTTTATAAAACTTGAGTCTCGGGAATTGGAATTCTCTTTTAGATACATGTTTTACAAATTGAGTTAATTATGAGTATGACTCATATACTATTGCGTCTTTGTCAATTAAATTCTTAAACAATTTTTTATATTAATTTGTCCCCTCAATTATGTAATTTGTCTCAATGTGACCCTGTTGTCCAATTTGTCGTTAATTTTAACAGAAAGTCTTAAGTGATGTGCACATGTATGATTTTAATTATCCTTAATCTCTGACTCATGTGATGTACACGAGAGACTTTTCGTTAAAATTAACGGCAAATTTGGATAGAAGAGCCACGTTGAGACAGATTGCATAATTGATGGACTAAATTTACACAAAAAATAGTTCAGAGACTTGATTGCCGGAAATAAAATTGTTTAGGGGCCATATGTTGGTAGTTAAATCTTTTGCAATTTCAGATGTTTGAGTTCCTAACTTGCAATATCAAGATTTCTCAGAATAATTCCCTCCCTCGGGAATCTCGTGGCATATAGTTTAAATTTGGGTAAATATCACTTACACTCCTTAATATTTAATTTTATTATATGAACATTCCCTTGATTTTAGAAAATACACCGAGACCCATTAACATTTCAAAACTTGTACCAGTAAGACCTCTTAACAGCATCTCCAACTTGACTCAAATTTTTATTCAAATTTAAGTTAGTATTTGAGTAAAAAGTTTGATTTTATAGGGTTCCAAAGAACAAACTTAAATTTAAAGAAGGAGAAACTTAAATTTAAATGAGGACAAATCTAAAATTAAATGAGAGTAAAGATGACCATTGAATTTTTAAAAGAGGATAAAATCTTACCATTAAAAATTTGAGTAAAAAAAAGAGTCCCTTTTGATTTGGCATAAGTTTGAGTAAAGGTTAAGACAAGTATTTTAGATTTTTTTACTCAAATTTAAATTTGAGTCTGAAAATGAGTCAAAGTTGGAGATACCTAGGAGGCGTTAGGATGACTAACAGCAAGGTTGATCTTAAAAAAATTGAAATATCAAAAATACCCTTCTCTTTTCACATTTTCTTTTTTAATTATTTCATTTATACACAAATTATATTTTTCATAAGTAATGATGCAACAAATTAAATCATTTTATTACATTAACCAATTGATTAAATATTAAAATAACAATCTATAATATAAAATAATACAGACTTCAATAAATTCATCCGACGATCACAAATAAACTTATTCAATAGCCATCAACATTTCTCTAAAAATAATTCACATTGCATTACATCGTGCCTTCAAGTACGAGTTACAACTAATAAATCTATATTTAGGAGTTAGGACTAAATAAAATAAATAACTCTTGTAATTAATGACTACACTAATCACAGTTCCAAAAAATTCAAATTATATTTAATTATATCAAATTAATTATGTAATCATATTAAATAAGTTTGTAATTCTCTACTTGCCTACCTTGCTATTGTACATATTCCCTCACCATTGCAGAAAAACCACCACCCACACCGCTGAAAACTCCACTGTTCCAAAACGCACCTCCACCATCGAAAATTCACCACCCAATATCACCGAAAACCCACCACCAATGTCTTCACCATTCCAAAACTCCCCAGCCACACCACCGAAAACCCACCACCCACACCGCCGAAACTCCACTATTCCAAAACCCACCTCCACCATCGAAAATTTACCGCCCAATATCACCGAAAACCCACCACCAATGTCTGCGCCATTCCAAAACTCCCCAGCCCCACCACCACTATTACTACTGAAAACCCATCATCCCACCGTCGAGTTAGCCACTCAAAATACACCGTTCCTCTCTTTTGAATCACTCGCCAAAATCCACCCTCCCCTAAAAACCACCACCCAAACCAGAAACAACCACTTCCATCTTTACTTATTAGGGAAAAAAATACCACCTCTATCCACTATTGTAACAGAGAGAGAGAGAGAGAGAGTGGGCGATTCTTCGCCTAACCCAACCACCCAAGGGAGATTCAAGAATGGAGGGTTTCAAGTATAATCATGGGTTAAGGGTGTTGTATATTTATATATATTTTAAAATATAATATATATTTAATTATTTCAAACGTATATATGTGTATAGAAATATAAATTAAATAAAAAAATTATTTAAAAATTATTTTTAGACTTATTGTATGACTTGAACGGTATACGATATGACAATTTGTCTTATTACTTATATATTTATTATATTACACTGGAATTATATTTTTAAAGTTTTTGACTGTTGGTTAATAACCGTTAAATTTGTAATTGACCGTTGGACCATTGAATGTTAACCATTATATCCTTTTGCTATGCAAATGTAACACTTTAATTGCTATTTAAAGCATATGATTGCTTGTGTACGAATAGAAAAAAGAAAAGAAAGAAACCTACTGTTCAGATCATAAAAGAAAGGCTAGTATACGGGAAGAAAAAAAAAACATAACGCAAAGTAGAAACACCAAAATTTGATTCTAATATACTACGACTTAGAGATTTTGGTATTGATTTGGAACTATGAAGAATTGTTCGAGACAACTCTATATTTGCGAGTGTACACTTGTAAAGAAGTGATAGTTGAATCATAAAAGATAGGACGTCGTAACCGGTTGCACTGGATTTCATACTCAAAGGGACAAAAATTTATTCTTAAAAATAGTAATTACACACCTCTATCGATAAGTTTTTTTGTCTTGTTTATTATCTGATTTTTAGCATTCTTAAATTGATATTTTCACATCAATCTTAAGAATAAACTTTAATATGGATGCTAAAATTATAAACAAGACTGTTCTTGATTTCAATGGGTTTAATTTTAAGCATTGACAACAAAGAATTATGATGTTACTTGATATATCAAGTGTTGCATTTGTTTTGACTAATTTAAAGCCCGAAGAAGATACATAAAATTATGTTAGAGAAAAAAAAAAGGAAAAAGACTGATAAGGTTTGTTGGAATATTATCTTGAATGTTTTATCAAATGAATTGTTTGATGTTTATTATCATTATAAGCATGTCATGGAGATTTGGGATAGTTTGGTGAAAAAGTATATTGTCGAAGATGCGGAGATTAAAAAATATGTAATAGAAAATTTCTTAAACTATAAGATAGTTGTGCTTGGATTGAAAAATTACCCGATTCTTTGAAAGTTTACAAGAACAATCTTAAACATAAAATGAAGGATATGTTTTTGGAAGATGTGATTATCCATATTAGAATTGAGGAGAAAAATCATTTGAAGGATAAACTTGAAAAGACCAAGGAAAATGTCTCTAAGGTCAATGTTGTGGAAACTACGAATAAGTCTCAATATAAGTATAAGAAAAAGAATTACAATGGAAAAAATCTCCATAAGACTCAAGGTTCTAGTTTTAAGAAGAAAGGTAAT